ATCTCTGGAATCTTCTAGAATCTAAGTATCCAGGAGCCTCCCGTAACCTCCCGTAACCGTAACCTCCCGTAACCGTAACCTCCCGTAACCTAGGAATCTCTAGAATCTCTGGAATCTGTAGAATCTAAGTATCCAGGAACCTCCCGTAACCTCCCGTAACCGTAACCTACCTAGGAATCTCTAGAATCTCTGGAATCTGTAGCATCTAAGTATCCAGGAACCTCCCGTAACCTCCCGTAACTTCCCGTAACCGTAACCTCCCGTAATCGTAACCTCCCGTAACCTCCCGTAACCGTAACCTCCCGTAACCGTAACCTCCCGTAACCTCCCGTAACCTCCCGTAACCTCCCGTAACCTCCCGTAACCGTAATCTCCCGTAACCTCCCGTAACCTCCCCTAACCTCCCGTAACCGTAACCTCCCGTAACCTCCCGCAACCTCCCGTAACCGTAACCTACCTACAAATCTCCTGAATCTCTGGAATCTGTAGAATCTAAGTATCCAGGAACCTCCCGTAACCTCCCGTAACCGTAACCTCCCGTAACCTCCCGTAACCTCCCGTAACCTCCCGTAACCACCGTAACCTCCCGTAACCGTAATCTCCCGTAACCGTACCCTACCTAGGAATCTAGAATCTCTGGAATCTGTAGAAGCAAAGTATCCGGGAACCTCCCGTAACCTTCCGTAACCGTAACCTCCCGTAACCGTAACCTCCCGTAACCGTAACCTACCTAGGATTCTCCCCAGAATCTCTAGAATTTCTAGAATCTAGGTATCCCGTCCTCCCGTAACCTCCCGTAACCTCCCGTAACTAAGCTAGAACCTGAGTCTAGAATCTCTAGAATCAAAGAAATTTCTAAAATCTCCAGATTCTCTAGAAACTCTAAAATCTGAGGTTCTCGTAACCTCCCGTAACCTTCCGCAACCTTCCGTAACCTAGCTAGAATCTGAGTGAAGAATCTCTATAAATCTGCCGAACCCGTAACCTCCCGTAACTTCCCGTAACCGTAACCTCCCGTAACCGTAACCTCCCGTAACCGTAACCTCCCGTAACCTCCCGTAACCGTAACCTCCCGTGACCTCCCGTAACCTCCCGGAACCTCCCGTAACCTCCCGGAACCTCCCGTAACCTCCCCTAACCTCCCGTAACCTCCCGTAACCGTAACCTGCCTAGGAATCTCTGAATCTCTGGAATCTGTAGAATCTAAGTATCCAGGAACCTCCCGTAAGCTCCCGTAACCGTGACCTCCCGTAACCTCCCGTAACCGTAACCTACCTAGGAACCTCTAGAATATCTAGAATCTAAGTCTCCCGTAACCATGGGAACCTCTGGAATATCTAGAATCTAAGTCTCCCGTAACCATGGGAACCTCTAGAATATCTAGAATCTAAGTCTCCCGTAACCGTAACCTCCCGTAACCGAATCTCTAGAATCTCTGGAATCTGTAGAATCTAAGTATCCAGGAACCTCCCGTAACCTCCCGTAACCGTAACCTACCTAGGAATCTCTAGAATCTCTGGAATCTGTAGAATCTAAGTATCCAGGAACCTCCCGTAACCTCCCGTGACCTCCCGTAACCGTAACCTCCCGTAACCTCCCGTAACCGTAACCTCCCGTAACCGTAACCTCCCGTAACCTCCCGTAACCGTAACCTCCCGTAACCTCGCGTAACCTCCCGCAACCTCCCGTAACCGTAACCTACGTAGCAATCTCCTGAATCTCTGGAATCTGTAGAATCTAAGTATCCAGGAACCTCCCGTAACCTCCCGTAACCTCCCGTAACCGTAACCTCCCGTAACCTCCCGTGACCTCCCGTAACCTCCCGTAACCGTAACCTCCCGTAACCTCCCGTAACCGTAACCTCCCGTAACCTTAATCTCCCGTAACCGTAACCTACCTAGGAATCTCTAGAATCTCTGGAATCTGTAGAAGCTAAGTATCCAGGAACCTTCCGTAATCGTAACCTCCCGTAACCTCCCGTAACCGTAACCTCCCGTAACCGTAACCTACCTAGGAATCTCCCCAGAATCTCTAGAATTTCTAGAATCTAGGTATCCCGTCCTCCCGTAACCTCCCGTAACCTCCCGTAACTAAGCTAGAACCTGAGTCTAGAATCTCTAGAATCAAAGAAATTTCTAAAATCTCCAAATTCTCTAGAAACAGTAAAATCTGAGGTTCTCGTAACCTCCCGTAACCTTCCGTAACCCTCCGTAACCTAGCTATAGAATCTGAGTGAAGAATCTCTAGAATCTCTATAAATCTGCCGAACCCGTAACCTCCCGCAACCTCCCATAACCTTCCGTAACCTTCCGTAACTTCCTGTCACCTCCCGTAGACTCCCGTAACCTCCCGTAACCAAGCGCGATTCTGAGTCTAGAATCTATATGTAGAGTCTCTAAAATGTGAAGACCCCGTAACCTCCCGTAACCTCCCGTAACTTCCCGTAACCTCCCGTAACCTGCGATTAATTTTGAAATATATATATTATATATTTAATATAATATATATATATAATATATATACAACTTTTGCGCTTGGAATGACCTGGTTTATGCGCGCTTAGTGACCCCAACTTTTGCGCTATTAATGACCCAAATTTACGCGCGCTTAATCCACAGTCTCAAAATGCACACATACATGGGTATATAGTGAGTTATCGCCCCCTTATCAACTAACTTCGTGGTCAAATCAAGTCTGTCAAAATCACCTCACGGGCCTCACTGGGGCAAGCCATGGCATATGGCAGGGCAGTTGTACAGAGCAACATATTGATGGTTGATTAATGGTACAACTGCCAGTCAATGGCATATTAATCAATTGAAACCATCAACCATTATGCCATTGTGCATGTTAATCATATGTTAGTTGATGGTTTCAATTGATTAATCTTAGCAACCCACCAACCATGACTGGGGATGCTGGGGAAATCCCACCAAAAATGGTGATGACTTGGGGATGGTGACTATGGCTTTGGGTGAATCCAACATTAGTTGCGTTTCATGCCACAAGCTTGCGTGAACCTGAGATATCCTGAGATGATGAACCACTTGACTTGATTTGATCATATGTTGACGATGGAAAAACATGACAGTCCTAGCAAGGACGGTTCATGAAACGGAATATCACTTTTGGGTGGGGGGATGCAATCAGCATCATTCTCACGCTTCAACATGACATACCCTCTGGTAAACTAACATAACTATGGAAAATCACCATTTTTAATTGGAAAATTCACTATAAATGGCAACTTTCAATAGCTATGTTAAATTACCAGAGGGTAAACGTCCCATTCTTTGGGTTTCAACCATCCTTTTGGTGGTTGTGGATGGATTTCTGAACCATCCACAATTTGTTTCATGCGCCAGGCTGTTCTCATCAATTTGGACAGAAGCCCGCAAGCCCAGGGGGGTAGACGAATGACTCGAGTTGACAAATGGCCGATGCTGAAATGACAAACAATTATATACCCTCTGGTAAACTAACATAGCGAACAACTGGAAAATCACTATTTGAATATGTAAATCATCTAATGGTCCATTGTCCATAGCTATGTTAGTTTACCAGAGGGTAAGTGTTTTTTGTGTGAATCACACGTTAGAATGGGCAGAATGTTAAAAAAGAATGTGATGAGTCATGAATCCATTTGTTGTAGTAGGCATGAACTGGGAAGATCTGATCAATTGATAGGATGTTGTTGTTGACTATGATTCGATAGTGGTCTTATTGCCTTGTAACAAGATGATGGTCTTGAAGATGATGAAAACAAGACTTTTGATGATAGTCCGGCCTCGTTGATCCTGAGACCCACCATTATCTCCCACCTCTTTAGGTGCCTACTAGGTTAACCTTGGATGGCTACTTTAACCGTTAGTCTTTTGGTATCAATTGGATTGTCTACTAACCAGCTAAGAATCTATGTTGTTGTAGGCTATCTAACTTTGGGCAATGCCTAAAGTTCAATCCGAAGCACTCTTTAGCTGTCCACCTCACTCGTGGGTACGAAATATTCTCCAACGGCCGCAACGTCTCAATCTTGGGGCCCCAAGAATGGTTCAAATGCGATTATTTGGGGGTGCTCACTAGTATGTTCAGACAAATGCATATTGTCTGTTTGGTATATGACGGTATATGATGTTATGTAGACACAGAAACTCATGAATTACTATATACAGCACCCATACAATTATATGTGTTTGATAATTTTTATATAGTTGATGTTTAAGCTATCACGATCTCTATTCCTATATTATGCAAGACATGTTCATGAATTACCTAGCTGATGGTGGTTAGTTGACAATACATTGAATATGATCACGCTTAAACATGTCCCTCACCTTCCAGTTACCTATCAGATAGGTAGCCAACTCCAAATAATCATGAGGTTTTTCATCACCTTCCAGTTACCTATCTCAGAGGTATCTGGAAGGTTAAGGGATATTGATAGATACTATATAATAGATATGTATCGACAATTGATATGTTTCCTTATATATATCCATTGGAAATCAAACTTTTCCCATGTACAGGTTAGGGATACATATATATTCTTGACTATTTACATGAAGTAACATTCAATGAACGTATAAATCAACTCATAATGATGATTAATCCATATTAACCCATATTAACCCATGTTAACCCCATTTGTTGTGGCACCTTCGTTTCGCGGTTCCCCGTTGTTTCCCCAACTTGGGCGGCCAGAGAGGCCGCCCGACCTCGGACCGTCGGTTTTTCCGTCGGAAGTTCCGAGGGCCGGATCGCCTTGCGGAGTGCGCCCAGCGCATCGAGACCAACTGCGATTGGCTCCAGTGCCGCGGCTGAGGTTTAGTATGGGGGTTCATGATGGTTAATATACCTGGTTAATATACTGTTGATAATGGTTAATCTGGTTGAGCCACCTACCATTGTGGTTAATATACCTGGTTAATAATGGTTAATATTAATGGTTATTATATGGTTAATGATGGTTAATGATGGTGAATAATCACTGGTTGGTGGTTTGGAACATGGGAGCTTCAGGATCAATGCATCGATGGGAATTTCAGGATCCTAAAATGGAGGTACGTTAGTATCATATAAGATCATATAAGACCGTATTTTGTGGGGATATCATGATATATCTACTGGTTGGTGGTTTGGAACATGGCTTTTATGTTCATTTCATATATGGGATGTCATCCTTCCCATTGACTTACTCATATTTTTCAGAGGGGTTCAAACCACCAACCAGTTATGGCCGAACTAACAGATAGGATTTATAGGAGGTATGATGAATAGGATTATATATCATGAAAAAAGAACAGTTAGTTTTATAAATGAGATTATTTCATGATATATAACCAACCAGTTTTAGGAGTTATACGTAATCGAATTTACTGTATAACTGTTAGTTGGGCCATAATTGAAGGGGATGTTCAGCCGAAAAAAATGACCAAAACACCATGAAGATTGATGAAGACATTGCGATTTGTTGCGAAATTGATGATTGATGAAGATTGATGACATGGAGAGAATTCGCTTGTTTTTTGATGAAGATTAGTTGATGAAGGCATGGCGATGTGCGTTTTTTGTCTTGACATTTCATGAGGAAAATTAGTTAATTACAGTAGTTTGTTTTTTTTGTTGGCCGAAAAGATGATGAACAGATGGAGATGTTGTGATTTTCTGGGATTTTTTTTCGTAGCATTTGGAGATGATGCGAAAAATTGAGATTTGGATTTGTTTTTTGACATTCGTATGGACCATTTCATAAAGGACTAGGTTCACCTTGGAACGTACAAACTAATCCTTTGGTCTTTGGGTATGGGATTATCTACTGACCAGCTAAGAATTTGTCATTTTTTGTAGGGTCTCTAAGATTGGCAATAAGGATATGAGATTTTCAGAAACTGAAGCTGGCGACTTTTTCTATGAAATCAACCAACGATAATATTGACCAAACGATGGCGAAGAAATCAGAACCATTTCAAAGCACAAGCAACTGATAATGGGGCTGAATACGCATTGATATTGCACACTTACAATATAACTAGCTGGTTGGTGGTTTGGAACATGGTTTTTATTTTTTCCATTCAGTTGGGAATTTCATCATCCCAACTGACGAACTCATATTTGTCAGAGGGTAGGTCAACCACCAACCAGCTAGAGATTGTCACATTGATGGTGAATAGACCCTCATTGTACCGTTGGTTGGTGGGAGCCATTCTCAACATTATCAAGTCCCGGGGAATTCACCAGGAGTTGATATAGAGGAAAGGTCACAATAGGTTGGCTGGTGGTTTGGAACATGGCTTTTATTTTCCATTTCATATGTGGGATGTGATCCTTCCCAACTGACGAACTCATATTTTTCAAGATGGCTAAAACCACCAACCAGTAGGTAATCAGCCTCTGAGAATTTCAGAAGCAATAGTGATAGATTAATAGTGATTAAGCAGCAGTGATAGATTAATAGTGATTAAGCAATAGTGATAGATTAATAGTGATTAAGCATCAAACATTTGGTTAAGTAGCAATAGTGATAGCAGCAAATCGGAACTTGATGTGTATGGTGATGGAGATGTAACCATCAAACATTGGACATGTGACAGATCAACAAAGATGCTCAACAACAAGAAAGTTTCAATTCAATACATTTAGCAAATGTACTATCATTTACTGTTGTTGTTTTTGTGTTTCCATTCACTTCTGTCACTATTTAAACACCGTTGGTGTGACATTGTTGTTTGTTTCCAAGGACAAAACATAGCTGGCCATCCTTTTTGTACTATACGGACCAATAGTGTTACACATACCTAAGATGCCTAAAACCCAAAATTAGCCCTGCTTGAGATGCTTGGTCCATGCAATTTATGGCTCAAGACCCTTCAAAATATTTTGGTGTCCTGTGGCAAGCATTCGTTCCAGGTATCAACAAGCAGATAAATAAACATATCTGATACCCCGAATTGTGAATACCCCCAACCAGGTCATTTCAATAGGGAAAAACGATGATAAACCACTGGATTGTGGGGTTTTCCCGTAATTTCTTCACAAACCCTACAATACTGGTTGGTGGTTTGGACCATTTTTTACTCCCAACAGCGTAAGCTAATGGGGTCTTCAGCCCAGAATAGCTCTGGTGTGCACTGGTGCAGGCGCCGGGTCAGGTTCAACGAGGTTCCGGAGAAGGTTCCGAAGGTTCCGGAGAAGGTCTGGGAGGCTTTGGTGCAGAGCCAGGTCAGGTTCAACAGGGTTCCGGAGAAGGTTCCGGAAAAGGTCTGGGAGGTTCTGGTGCAAAGCCCGTTCAGGTTCAACAGAGTTCCGGAACAGGTTGCGGAGAAGGTGGAGGCTTTGGTGCAGAGCCAGTTCAGGTTCAACAGGGTTCCGAAGAAGGTTCTGGAGAAGGTCTGGGAGGCTTTGGTGCAGAGCCAGGTCAGGTTCCGGAGAAGTTCCGGGAGGCTTTGGTGCAGAGTTAGGTTTTGGGTTTAAGATGGTTCCGAAGAATGTTTCGGAGAAGGTCTGGGAGGCTTTGGTGCATAGCCAGGTCAGGTTCAACAGGGTTCCGAAGAAGGTTCCGGCGAAGGTCTGGGAGGCTTTGGTGCAGAGCCAGGCAAGATTCAACAGGGTTCCGGAGAAGGTTCCAAAGAAGGTTCCGGGAGGCTTTGGTGCAGAGTCAGGTCAGGTTCAACAGGGTTCCGAAGAAGGTTCCGGCGAAGGTCTGGGAGGCTTTGGTGCAGAGCCAGGCAAGATTCAACAGGGTTCCGGAGAAGGTTCCAAAGAAGGTTCCGGGAGGCTTTGGTGCAGAGTCAGGTCAGGTTCAACAGGGTTCCGGAGAAGGTTCCGGAGAAGGTCTGGCAGGCTTTGGTGCAGCCAGGTCATGTTCAACAAGGTTCCGGAGAAGGTTCTGGAGAAGGTCTGGGAGGCTTTGGTGCAGCCAGGAAGGTTCCGGATAAGGTCTGGGAGGCTTTGGTGCAGCCAGAGGGTTCCGGAGATGGTTCCCAGAGAAGGTCTGGGAGGCTTTGGTGCAGCCAGGTCAGGTTCAAGAGGGTTCCGGAGAAAGTTCCAGCGCTTGGCTGAAAGATTTGCAAAAATAAAACGTTGGGGCTGTTAGTTTTTCCATATATTGGGAATCATCATCCCAACTGACTATAAAATATTTTTCAGAGGGATTGAAACCACCAACCAGTATATACATATACACATCATATACATATACATATAATGAGTCTGTTGGTCCCACGTTCCTCAAGTTGACATGCACCAGATCCACCAGGGGCACGGTTCCAGGTACCAACGCATGAGGGCCAGCGACGGGAAGCAGGACCTCATCAGGTCAGACGAAGTGTGCCTTGGCGGCCTCGGGTGGTAGCCATGGTGGCCATAGTATCAATGGCGAAGCATTTCAGGGACCATGTTGGCCTGGAAACCATGGATTTTTGCCTCCACATGGAGGCCTAAAATAGGGGTACCCCTAAATCATCCATGAAATAAAAGGAAATTCCATTGCAAACCATCCATTTTGGAGATCCACCATTTTAGGAAATCTCCAAATATTGTCCGGGATTTCCTTTAGATCATCCCTTCAATTCTAGAGTTCAAAGTATGATAGATGAGGATGAAAGGGAGAATCATGGGGGTCATACTTACAACGGGGGATACCAACAAAAAGAACTTTGGAAGCAAGCCTGGGAGAACTATGATATCAGGTATGACGGACATGTTTTCCCCAGCAATAATGGTGGTTGGTGATAAAAAAGGAAGGGAACACATATGGTGGTTTGATGTGGTTTGTCAATAGAAAGATCCAGGCGGAATCTTCTCTTACTCTCGTTCGAGTTGGGTATGCAGTATTTTCGGATTTCACCACGAAATGCTTTGTGGAACAGGTGAATACCAACAAATCCTATCCCTTTGTAAGTGGTGAGAAAAGCAAATATGAAGATCCCTCATTTCTCCCCAGATCGCAATTTCGCGCAGGAAATGATGACAAAAACCATGAGTTTCGGGGTTTTGAAGCATCAAACATGTTGAACTGAACAGAATTGGGAATTCATCCATGAAACATCGATACTTAGCAGTACATGCGTTTTGACCCATGTGTTTTTAAAAACCAGGCAAGTGGATCCATGTATAAACCAGCTCTACACAGGGATTTATCAAGAATAAGGGGATCAATGGCAAGGATGGAACAGAATTGGCATGCAGCTTTGGAAATCTCACACCGAACATTGGGATTTTGGTATCGAAAAAACATCAAATATGTGGATTTGAACTGGCGGTACCTTCTTGGGAATCTAATGTGAATACCATTCTTTGTACTCGGAAAGTTGTTTGTTGATGCATGTAACTAGGGCAGTTTCATTGTCAGGCCTGCAAATATAACCGTTGTACTAGGTAGAAAAACTTTAGAAAATGGATGAACATGGAGAGTCGGTTATTGACAGGTCTGACTGCGAGGGGGGGGTGCAAATTGATGGATCTTGGTCATTGTACATGGGGATTGAAATGATTTTGCACAAAACGACGTTTGAAAGACGAGGGATCCAGATGGGCATGCCGACCAAAGCAGATATCAACCAATATACTTTTGATCAGGTAGATATCAGTAATATATATATATATAATTATATATATACATCAAAAATGTGAAGCCGCTCAAACAAGCTGAGAGCATAATAAATATAATATATATACATATATGTTTATTTATACAATGTGGGGCCCCCCAGTTATAAGTTGGTTTATAAGCGCCAGTAAGTATAGTTATAAGTACCATAAACCATAGTTATTGGAGTTATAAACCAACTTAGCTATCTAGGGGGCCCCACTTTGTACATATATATATATTTATATACATTTACCCATGGAAGATTCTGGATCTTGTAACACAACCATTCCTGTACTCCCTGCACAGATTCCCAATGCCCTCTGCTTTGTTTCGTTTCACCGATTCTGCTAGATCCACCTTTTGGAATATGTTGCGACCAGGACCTAAGGATTTAAATCCTATAGGAAATATAAATGGAGGTTTGTACCCCCAAATCATGCATTTTACCCTCTGGTAAACTAACATAGCTTTTGAAAATGGCCATTTTTAGTGCATTTACCCATTAAAAATGGTGATTTTCCATAGTTACGTAAACGTTTACCAGAGGGTAATAATAGGATTGTCCATTTTCCACAGCATCCAGCAATTAGGGCGGCGATTGGGGATCACATTTTCACATCTTGTTGGAATTTTGCTGAGGACCCATTGGTGGCACACCGGTCGCAACGTGGTGTACCAGAAGATCCGCTCACGCCGAAAAGGCCGGTCCTACGACTCGTCCGACTCGTCCGACCGGACTCGTCCGACCGGACTCGTCCTGGGATGTGTTCAGCTTCGTTCATTGTGGTCGTAATAGACATGGCTAGAAAATCCATGGAAAATCAATATTGTAAATGGAAGTTTGAACGAAAAATTGTCATCTATAAACGGTGGATTTTCCGTTGTCACCTTTGATTACTGGAGTAGGTAGAACCCATTAGGAAACCCAGCCACATGTCTGGCCTCTACTATCAAACTTGCCCACTTTGATCATATCATCTTCAAAACATCTAGCATTCCAAGAATCCAAGAACATCCAAAAAGTTCTCAGAATCGAAAATTAGGCCCCGAGAAATGCCAAAAAATGCAGAAGGTGCTGTCAGAAACCCTGTCAGAAACCTCGGTTTTCATGAAGCTTTTCCCGCAGGCTGGGATGATCTCCACACTTACAAGGTGAGAGAGTTGAGCATGAGCGCTGGTGAGCGTGGTTGCGCACGGCCCCCCAGGGCCCCCAGGGTCCGGAAAACAGCATGGAAAAGTCCCCGAGTTCGCTTAGTTTATCCATGGGAAATCCAATGACACAAAAAAGATATGGGTGACACATGGATTTTTTGAATGGACGGAGAATGGCTAAACAGTTGGCTGCACTGTTTTTGTTGGCTAAAGATCTATTTTAGTGGCGAATTCCACATATGTTATTTATGTGCATTGCATTGTGTCAAATAGTGTAATGCCTTTAGAAATCGCAAACTCCTGCTCAATTTGAATCCCACTTGTTCCTTCATTGTTTGCTCCTTCATTTTTTGCGACAAACAGACAAAGACTGTTAAATTCCGTATGATACTTTATTTGTGCCGCTCCCCAAACAAATGTACAAATAGGGTGTGGTTGGACTTTAGGCTTAATAATGGTGTATCGCTTCATCACCTTTGATGTTACCTTCTTCATGATCAGCAGAATCTTACAATATCATTCACCCCCCTGCTTTCCTTGGAACCATCCACAATGGATGTGCCCTTGAACCCACCTCGTGGATGGCTAAATCACAATTTTATTTGATGAAAACATCACTAGATGCCACCTTTTTTTTGCTGGAATCACTCCTTGGGATGGTAAACATACCTATTTTGTTGACTGAACTGACCAGTACTTTACCGTTGCACCGTCGAGCTCAGGCAATGTCGCATATCCGAGCCTGGCGGCGGTGCCTGGAGAACAGCGCGGAGACCTGGAAGGGTTTAGTTGGTCTAAGAATTTGGATATAATGTATAGTTGATATAATATTGACATAGATTGACTGTTATTTACTGTAGATGGAATATATTTATAGAGAAGCCGTTGTTTTTCGCATGGTGATTTGATGGTGATTTCATGGTATTTAATCCCTATGGATCCAGCGGTGCCTTCTTAGGAAGTACGACGGGGGTATGATGACTAGGGGGTTTGCCGTATATCAGACAGTGCTTGGATCCATGGTATATATATATATTGTTATATCTACATTTCATGTGTATATATATATATGTGTGTGCGTGTGTGATGTGTGTAATGCAGAATCAGCATGTACTATAAATTAGTATCATCCCATATCACTGATTAATGCTATTATCATGTTCCCACCGGGAAAATCTTTGTTATTACTCTCAAACCGGAAATGCGGGATGTCAATGATATGATTTGGATATCTTAACAATCAGCAGATCAATAAAGAAATATCATTGATGATATACCATCAATATCATCAAATATTGTGCTGCAACATGATATTGGTAATATTAACGATTAGTTATATGTTTATGGATTGCATGAACGGCGTAAATACTAGTAATGCTAATAGTAATAGCAATAATGACCTCCTAGTGTTGGTAATGGGATATGATGAGTGAATTTTTTTCGGGGTCCTCAAAAGGATAGAACCGTGTTTCTAGGATGTTAGTTTGATGATGTGTCAAAAAAGGTTCCTTCATAATTCCCAGATTCCAGCTTGTTTTATGTATTTTGGGGCTGCTATTAGAGGATATAATCGGATACAATGAATGGGATACATAGAATATGACAATATATAGCCAACAATACCATTTGGGACATGGGGAATCTTCAGCCAAGACTTTATAGGGATATAATCTGCGGATACAATGGGATTTATAAGCACCAATTTGATATCGTGATTTCATACCACCAAAAAATGTCATGTTCAGACAAGTTGTTTACCTATTGTTCTTCGGCTATATCCCAGCAAATATCCCCATGCTCTCTCCTTACATACATCAATCCATTGATTATGGTTGGTCCTTCCGCCCTGCTGTTCGCGCGCGTTTTCGAAGTCGTCTTCCCCATAGGAATAATAGGGTTTTTTGAGTTCCATCCCATTAAACGCAGTGTTTCGTCAGAGTTGGCATGGGGTGGGGTGGGGTGGGGATGTTAACGTTCATGTTAACTTGCGGCACATGCGCAACTGACGTCACGTCACTGGGTTGGGGTGGGTGGGGATGTTAACGTTCATGTTAACTTGTTTTTCTTGAAGTTGATGCTACGCCATCTTATCGCGCTCGCCTTTGTGCGCCATCTTATCGCGCGCGGACACCAGGTCAGAACCTTGTTGGTATGTATACGATAAACCCCCATGGTTGAAAAATTAGGTATACCCTCTGGTAAATTAACATAGACCCTGAAAATAATCCATTTTTAGTGGAAACCAGTCTTCGAACCCCTATCTGCCAGGGTCTATGTTAATTTACGGAGTGTACATAATTTCTGGATGAATCATAATGACCTCACTGCTTTCAGATTGGTGAATTAGTCTAATTCAGCAAGAATCACTCTCCGAGGTTGAATGATGGGGTAGCCTCTGGTAATGGTAATTAAACATGCTGGAGAATCACCCAGCCATGTTTGAGGAAACCGGAGGGAAAAATAGCAAATTCATCATGTTTGATGTTTCAATCTCGATTTGCTCCACGTTGCATCAGTAATAGTATATAACAATATATTTTTTAACGACCTCACTGCGACCTCGGAAATTAGCAGGGTCACCATCCAAAAATATCCGAACTGTGCGGATAGGTTTTTTTTGCCCAGATTTTAAGTCATGTCCATATTTATTCAGTTTTTATTCCCAATGGAGAAACCATAGTTAGTGGGGTGATACACCAACTTAGATATCTGGAGGATGTTTGGAACATTGCAAATTCTATGAGTAATTACAATGACCATTCTATTTGGGGGATTACCATTAAATCCCATTAAATCACCATTAAATCCACATGTTTCTTGGTGAAATCCCAGTTTTGTTGGTTAAATTCCTACTTTTTGTTGATGATTCAACTCCCACCAGGTGACTTCAGCTTAAGAATCGCCCACTCGCAAGGCCCAGATCAACCCTTGCTGGTCGGACGTCTCAGGGGCGACACAAAAGAGAGAGGCGCAGGTCGATGGCGTTAATTGAGCAAGCCATAGACCTTGGGATTTATGGTATGATCATGTATAACTGGTTGGTGGTTTGGAACATGTTTTATTTTCCATAATATATGGGATAATCCTGGATATAATCCTTCCCATTGACTTTCATATTTTTCAAGATGGTTAAAACCACCAATCAGAATATATCTATGGATTCATAACTATAGAAATGTTATGTATATATACTGTATAGTGTTACAACCCCATCCAAGTATAGAAATACTCTCGGTTCAAACTCGGATTTATGGTAAAAATAGGAATAAAAATGATATATATATATATATATTTATATTTATAGTTATATAATGTTATATATATACAGATATATATATATATTGTATGTATATATATATATATTATATATTCATAGCTATATTTAATCCAGTTCCGCCAAATACTGGTGAATGTGTGGGACGAAACCACAGAATTGGGACCATTAACCATGGGGATATGTTTTGGAGGATGGGATTCGTATCACCAGCATTCCATAGGAATCCTATGGAATATTTTATCGAATCCTGTTTGGTATGAACCAGCCAGTGACCTTTCTGTGAATGAACTAGCGAGTATTAGTTGGCGGTATTCTTCCCATATGATTTTAGGTGCTGGTGGAAAATGGGCTGTACAGAAACCATACGGTGGAAAACCCTCAAAGATTTAGTTCCCCACCTGCCAGGTGAGGGTTGTTAGATTTTATGTCAGTTGCCTCCTCCTGCCTCCTCCTGACTCCTGCCTCGTCCTCCTCCTCCTCCTCCTCCTCTCCTCCTCGTCGTCCTCCTCGTCCAACTGCGACCCGCGATCCACAGTGTTCTCTGTCGGACCTCAACCACGACCATCCACGCCCAGTGTTCCCTGCCGGACCTCAATCACGACCATCCCCGCCCAGTGTTCCCTGCCGGACTTCAACCACGACCATCCACGCCCAGTGTTCTCTGTCGGACCTCAACCGCGAGTATCCACGCCCAGTGTTCCCTGCCGGACCTCAACCACGACCATCCCCGCCCAGTGTTCCCTGCCGGACCTCAACCACGACCATTCACGCCCAGTGTTCCCTGCCGGACCTCAACCGCGAGTATCCACGCCAAGTGTTCCCTGCCGGACCTCATGTAGGAAGATATGGGACAAAGAATGTGCAGAAGAAAGTTAGAACGAATGTCAGAAAGAATGTCAGAAGATATGCCAGAAGATATGCCAGATAGAATGCCAAATAGAATGCCAGATAGAATGCCAGAAGATATGTCAGAATATATGCCAGAAGATATGCCAGATAGAATGCCAGATAATATGCCAGAAGATATGCCAGATAGAATGCCAGATAGAATGCCAGAAGATTTGCCAGATAGAATGCCAGAAAATATGCCAGAAGATATGCCAGATAGATATGTCAGAAGATATGCCAGAAGATATGCCAGAAGATATGCCAGAAGATATCAGAATGCCAGAAGATATGTCAGATAGAATGCCAGAAGATATGTCAGAATATATGCCAGAAGATATGCCAGATAGAATGCCAGATTGAATGCCAGAAGATATGTCAGATAGAGTGCCAGAAGATATGCCAGATAGAATGCCAGAAGATCGGCCAGATAGAATGCCAGATCATATGCCAGAAGATATGCCAGATAGAATGCCAAATAGAATGTCAGAAGATATGTCAGATAGAATGCCAGAAGATTTGCCAGTAAGAAAATGTATAAATGTCATGGTGGGGATCACACGAAGTAAAGTAATTATTTTTTTTGGCTGGGTTTGAACACGAGTTAATTGCCATATGGCTTTTCAGATTGGCTGTCCTATCCCCATGGGGATGTTTAATCCCAACAGATGAACAGTGGTCAAAACCCGTCATCCCTTTATACTGGTTGGTTGATAAGAATGTTCTCAATGGATTGTGATGGTCCCAGGGTATTGCTTAGTACAATCCCACATAGACATCAACCAGCAGGGCTTTAGCAGCCAGTGCTCAAATAAGGAGCAGTAAGTTCATCATCGTGTTTCCGAAAAACGTTGCCATGTTGTGACAACAAACCCATGCCATGATCAAGCAAGTTGGATGACAACAAGCCCTTGGGGATGGTCATAACCGTCGCCATGCGATCTGAGATGAAGTTCCTGAAATCTCCCCACCGTGTTTTGGAAATCCACGTGATCTTCCCCAGCATATCTCCACAGCTGAAATCCTGAAATTATAGTTATGGCCCAAGTAACACTTAGAAAAATTGGATGAACTAACTCCGAAAAAAAAACTGCTTGGTGATATGAAATAATCCATAAATCATCCATAGTAATCCCAATTTTTTCACTGTTGGGCCATAACTTTTTTTCAGCTTATAATCCCAGTTTATAATCCAGAATAATCCCAGATTATAATCCCAGATTATAATCCCAGTTTATAAATTTCATCCAGAAAGATGGTGTGTTTTCCATCGCAGAAATCTCACACTCCGAGGTCTTGGAGGACGACGCTGTGCCCACCAAGGACTTCACCGAGGCGCCACTTGGGGGCCTCGGTTGACTCCAATTTCACGACGTGGTTGTTTAATATAGTTATAACTATAGTGAATTATAAGATGTTATAAGATGTTATAAGATGTTTTTCTTATAACTATAGTATGATAGTTTTCATGGGGCTTATGTAACTAATTATAGTACTATGGTGTTATATCATAACTATGGTTTTTAATATATAACTATAAGATCTTTTAACTATAGCATTCATGATTTTCATGGGGGTTTATAAAGCAACGTTCACATCACTGGGGGGCCCACATTGTGATTTTATTGGTGATTTCATGGGATTTCATGGGGCTTCACCAACAAAAGATGATAAAAGATGCTGATTCTCAGGAAAACACATATGGTGATGGTCAGATTTCCAGAGAAAAATGCTGATTGTCCATGTAATTTTCACCAAAAATGGTGATTTTTCGTGGGATTTCCATGGCCAACTCCACAGTCAGCTTCGGCGCCGCCGCTTCCGCTGCCAGGTCTTGAAGAGCGCCATGGCCTCGCTGCCCAGCGATGCTGATGTGCTGTACCTGGGATATTCGCAGGCGACCCTTACCGGACAAAATGTGGGAGAGAACTGAGACAACCATGAACTGGTTGGTGGTTTGGAACATTTTTATTTTTCCATATATTGGGGAATAATCATCCCAACTGACTAATATGAAAGCCGGGGTGATGACTTACCAACACATTGGAACAACCATGAATTTCGTGGTGAAAAATCCCAAGTTTCCCAGATTTTCCCTGGAAGAAAAACGGAAGTCACTTCGGTCATTGGGAAAATCTGGCTTGTTCAAACTCCAGATTTGAATCGAAGTTTTTGACAAAGACCCAGACCAGGGTTCTCGCCCAAAATATTGTTTTATTGGACCATAGTTTTATATATCAACATTTGCCCAATAAATGGACCATTTTTGTAGGAATAGTTACTTTTTGCACAGAAAAACCCATACGCGGAGCATTTTTTGGAAGAGTCAATGTCGAACGAGCCAAAACAATCGGGATTGGAATTGAATGACAACGGAATTTGATGTGGTTAATTCTGGAATTCACCAAGCACGACTAATAAAAGGCGTATGAACCATTTGTTGGCAGAGTCCAAATGGGTATCATGCGCTACACAGTCAATGGTATCCAAACCAATGGACCCACACTTTTAACCAATGTTTTGGAGCACATCTTGGTCTGTTTTTGAAAATGGGGTATACTACAGGATACCCGCAATATGGCTCAATATGGCAATATGCTTGGAGAAACATGATGAGCCAGTGGATTACCCATATTTGGGGTTTGGGAAGCAACCAACAGACGTAGTCATTTCAAACATGAAGTAGCGATCAAAGTGCACCGAAACATGGTGAAAGTTGGGGTATTTGGGGATGTGCCAGGCCATATGTCTGTTGCCACATCGGAGATCCAGCTACGGAATTTGGACCCGGGTTTGATCCATACCGATGTTAATATTTCGTGATGAAGATTTAAATCTACAATGAGAAGGTGTTTGACCTATAGTGAAATTAAGTTAGGCTATCAATGTTTGATTCACGATGTTTCAGGTCACCCCGAGAAAGATGACAATGTTGTTGGGATTAGCCCATGGATTTTTCGTAGCAATGTTAAAAGTGAATTTCAGTAGCAATATATATATATATAACTATATATATATTGCTATTGAAATATTTATTTATTTATTAGAGCATGGTTAATTAGCATGAGATCAAATGTCATATAATCCCTTCCCCTATGAAACACATTAAACACCCCCTAAAAGAAACCATGGGAATCTCCGCATTCCATTGGGAGCCAGGCAGCGGACTGGCGACGCTGTGCGGGCGTCCTGGCGGAGGCGCTTGGACATGGTGAGTGATGAAGTTCCCAACATCAAAATGGCAAAATGGGGCATATTGGAAACCAACATTTTATATATATATATATTCAGGCATATCAATGATTGTTATCTTAGATATTTGATATTGATGATATCTTGAATGATATCCATATTCTTTCAAGAATGGGTTATGAATGGCTTATGGGTTACTTCATCTGATTCATAATGGCTTAGCCATGGGAATCGCCCTTTCTTTTCGGAGATTCCCATTGATTTTTCCCGGAATCCCTTAGGTTAACCAACAAAAATGGCTGCTTTTCTCATCCGACATAGTCTTTTGGGATGGAAAAAACTGGCAGATTGGCCACGAAATGGGGCATCTTTAATGGTGATGAACATAGATATTGAATGGTGATGTATAGCCTGCGTAGCTGATAAACAGGATAAACATATGTTAGCTAAGTTTATAACTGGTAGAAAAATGTTAGCTAAGTTGGGGGCCACCATCTAACTGCATCTTAAATTGCTAGTCAAGATCTGGGTTGATGGTCTATATATATATATATACACGTATATCGAACTAGGCTCTATGGTTGATCAAGCATCAAACATGGGGGACAGCACTGACGTTGTGTGAAAAATCCCACCGGTTGGTTGATTGATGACAGGGTGAATGGCGGGTCTCCAGCCATTCACCTGAAAATGGCTAGATCATCATCAATACTATTAAACCAACCAATATGTTGATATCTATATGAAAATATCTATAGAATATAGAACATATTGTAGATATATGTAGATATATAGTAATCACCATTGATATATCACTGGTTGGTGGTTTGGAACATGAACTTTATTTTCCCATATATTGGGTAGTTCATCATCCCAACTGACTTTCATATTTTTTCAGAGGGGTAGGTATACCACCAACCAGAATACTATTAAACCAAGCATTTTTTATAGCTGGGACATAGAACCACCAATGATCTTGTTGAAAAGTCGATTTGGAACCTGTCCCTTATAGAAGTGGCGATCTCAGGTCGCAATACAAATCCCATGATGGCACGAAACTTGAACACGTAATTTATCGTAATTTGACCATGTAACGTGACGACTGTGCTTTTTTTTGGTGGGGATGGGGACGAAGACTTTTTTACATACCATCAATGATGGTCTGGTTTTGGTGAATGATCCCAAAAGATGAGTGCTTCTTTAGGGATTATATACTGAGTACTTCCTCTTTTTACCAGCTGTTGGGTGTGTACCAGGGCATCTGGGGTTGCATTCTGAGCTCGGCTGCGGCACTTGAGAAAAAACAACTTGCCAGTTGATCAACCAACCATCAATCGGGACGAAACGGAGAAAAAGAGATAGAGATTAGGGCGAGGGGTCTTTCCGCCAGAACATGGTTTGGCTCAAGAGACTGGGACGTTAGGGGACTTATATGGCTATCTGACCAAATCATGGGAAATCGACTGGCACAGTACTGGAACGATTCGAGTTTTGAATTGGCATCTGACCAGATTCAAACGCTGCCGAAGATTGGGAACTAGATCAAGTTTAGCCACCATCAGATACCTATGTTCTTGGAAGCCCTTTCTGTGATCCATATCGGGAGAAATTAATCCGTAAAAAAACTATATCGAGGTGCGGATGGCACAGACTTGATGAGTGAAAGTGCTGGTTTCAACATGTTTTACCCTCTGATCATTGAAGATGTCTATGGAACATGGTCTGTTTAGTTCGATGATTTAATACTAAAAATATCTAAACATGGTGATTGCCCAGTTCGCGATCTGAAAAATGACCACATCCCCATTTTGTGCCTGGTATGTTGATCAAGTCGGCAGCCATCAAGCTAGTAAGGTTTGCTGAAAGGATTCCAGCACCCCTCAAAAAGCCAGAAAGTCTAATATCATTAGAGAACCTACATGTATTATAACATTATACATTTAATAATTATGAAATTATGGTGCATATTTGAATTGTTATAGTTACCTTTTCAGGATTGCTATACCAAATCTGGCTTAAAGATTGTTATTTTGACAGAATCACGTTTCTATCTTTTTTGGTGGCTGTCGCCAAATGAATGGTCACTTTCTGTAGCTGAAAATATGGTGTTGCTCTGAACAACCATGAGAAAACCGCCAAAAAAACTTGGATTTTGGAATAATTTATGAAACCATATAAAACCAAATCTTTTATAGGTACAACATGTTATAATAACTATAAAAGTGACCCATGATCCTATAGTTATAACATGTTTTAACTCTATATATTGGCCCAGATAGTGTAAATCTGCCATGTTCAACATCGGTGCCAGCCTTGTCAGGCCGAATATGTTTGGACCACCGTGGCGTGCCCTGGCCTTGGTGGCCAGCCGGAGGTGGTCCAATAATGTCAAACCATCCTCAAGTCATCACCAGAAATTAATGGTTGGTTACAAAGTGGGGCCCCCGTTCGATAGCTAAGTTGGTTCACATAACTCCAATAACTATGGTTTATGATACTTATAACTATAGTTACTGGGGTTTATAAACCAATTTACAACTGGGGGCCCCACATTGTAGGAAAGCATTCCCAAATTGTGGTTCAGTGGTTTGCTAAGTCATGGGGGGTACCCCCAGATCATCCATTTTATGTTGGGATTTTCCACGAAATCGACCATCTAGCTCTTGGGGTATCAAAATTTATGAAAACCTCCAAATATTAGTTTATGATAGTTTATGGCATTTAAGAGCTTCCCACATGATTGATGATGCATGGTTGAAAGTCAAACAAATACTAGACAGCATACATGGTTTATAACTGTAGAAATTATTGCTATTTATTATCAACAATTTCGGATCAAACAATCCCCATGATAGGTGTTATTTGTTGTATCAATCACAAGAGGGTTGGTGGTCCGGAACGACAAACATTGTCTTGATGATGGAAACCACCCTAGTTGGTTGGTTTGGCAACTGCAATCGTTTATGAAGTGTTGTAACTTAGAACCCAGGTTGTAGTCGTTTACAAAGCTCCGCAAATTGAGGACTTACCAAGATTCCTGTCCATGACATACTGAGTGAACTATGGCAGCCAGAAATGAAAGGTCAACCTTTGATTGGCCAAATCTTTGGTACAATGGGTTGACTGTTCAAAGCCCCTGGCGGTTGATTAGTTGGCTTCTTAACCTATCCGATAGGCATATTGTGTGTTATCACAATCCATGAACTGGGCGTCCTCTTCTTAGCCAGTATTTCATGGAATGATAGTGTTTTTTCCTAGATTCCGTCATGGTCACGTTATTCAATCATTACCTCCACGCCCCAAAAGACAGATACAGTTCTTGTGGTTTGACAATCATATACCCTCCGGTAAACTAACATAACCATGGAAAATCACCATTTTTAATGGGTAAAACCACTATTTCTATGACCATTTTCAATAGCTATGTTAGTTTACCAGAGGGTACCCAATCATTAATCCATTCTTTTGCAGGTACCAAATACGATGATCCATCGTACATTCACTGAGCGGCTGATTGGCTGGGAGTAAATCTAGGTCGATGAGATGTGAATGATAGCTCCACAAAAAAGACATTTATCATAGGTTATCGCTTTTTTGGGATTGGATTTTACTAATATACATCTTGTTGGGGGCTACTGTCTGCAGTATTCTTATACAATGGTATGTGATCCCCATCAGATATCACTTGATATCACATTGTATTTTCGGTTGTCTATCCAAATTATATGTATATATATAATTACAATAATAATATTAATAATAATAATAATGATCATAATCATAATAATGATCATAATAACAATAATAATAACAATAATAATAGTGATAATGATAATGATAATGATAATAACAATAATCGAAAGAAGTTTAGAAGTCAAACTTCTGACAATATGGACAGATGGAAAAGCAGAGGTGGGAAGAGTCAGAGAGGAGAAGAGCAGAAGAGAGAAGATCAGAGAAGAGAAAGAGTGAGAAGAAAGAAGATGCAGGTGCGCGAAAAGGTAGGAAAGTCGCGAAACACTGTGTTTTTCCAATGATTTGTGGCTGCAGAGGGTCGAAAAGTAGGCTCGCTAAAGCGGCGGTTGCGGAGCCATCTGGCCAGATGAGAGATGAAAATTGCACGCCGTTTTGGCGCGAAGCACATTTCCAACTCAAAATGTACAAAACACCTCAGCTTCGGAGCACTTTTAGAAGTTGCGATGTCGAAAAAGTGCAAGCCGTTGTGGCGCGAAGCACATTTCCAAGTCAAAATGTACAAAACACACCAGCGTCGGACCACTTTTGGATGTCGAAAAAATGCACGCTGCTGTGGCGCGAAGCACGTTCGAAGTCAAAAGTGTTAAAAACTGACGGTCTCAGACCAGCTTTGGATGTTCAGATGTCGTTTCGTGTGGCAGGTGCAAGGGATTCTGTACATTGTCAAAAGCGAGCAAAATGTGAGGGTTTTTGTTATGGCAGGCGTGGCACATTCGAAGAGGATCTGGAAAGATGCTGTTCACGTGGCAAGCGCAGTACAAGAGACATGCTCATCAGAGATATTAGGAGGTCTGGGCACTGATTTCTTGAGAGGGGTTGCATTTTGGAGCATCAGATCTTCAGGTTTGCTAAGATGATTTTGCGTGACAGGTGCAGAACTTCGTATGACCTGCTGGCATCACTTTTTCGTGGCAGGCACAGGACTTTAGACAGATGCAGTGGAAAAAGCGCAAACCGCATTGGTACGAGGCCGTCAGCTCTGCACTCAACTTTCGATGTTTGAAGGAAGTCTCGCAGAATTGCTTCGTTTTTGATGTTGCCAAGTTAAATAATTGAGGAAGTCTCGCAGAATTGCTGCGTTTTTGATGTTGTCAAGTTCAAAAACTGAGGAAGCCTAAGATAGACAGATAGCTAGATTAACAAGGCATTAACAACTACAACTACAACTACAACGACCACTACACTACACTACAGATACAAATGCAAATAAAATACGCTACATTACACTACACTAATTACATCTAATTACGCTACACTACACTACACTAATTACACTACAACTACAAAAACTACTACTACCACAGCTACAACTACAATTACAACTACACTACATTACACTACACTACACTACACTAATTACACTGCAGGACACTACAAATACAAATACAACTGCGCTACATTACACAACACTACATTACACAACACTACACTACACTAATTACATTACAACACATTACACTACAACTGCAACTGCAACTACAATTACAACTACCACTAGTTTGCACTACACTACACTAACTACATTACACTACAACTACAACTACACTGTATACGTTACACTACACTACACTAGACTACACTACACTTTACCACACTACAGTACACAACACTTTGGTACACTACAATACACTACACTAATTGCACCACACCACAACTACAACTGCAACAGCAACTGCACTACACTAATTAAGCAACATTGCAACTACAACTTACAACTTACAAATACAACTCCGCTACACTACAACTACAACTACAAGTACAACTACAACTACAACTGCGCTACACCACACTACATCCAGCAGATGTGGTGAGGTGACCACTGCAAACATTTCAACCACTCCAAAAAACACAACTCCGACCACCTTTCGGTCCATCAGTGGGTTCGCTCTGCCATCCGTGATTCGCAACAACCAACCTCTCCTATACTGTAGGTTGCCTATTTTTGAAACTTCCGCCACCGCCTTGGGCGGCACTACTGGTAATAACAATAGTAATAATTAATATTTAATAATTATTAATTAATAATTAATTACTGATTAATTAATAATATTAATAAATAATATATTTTACAACAATTTATATTTCTATATATATATAGATATGGTATTATATATATATAGGTGATATCCAAGTATCCATTTTTATTTATTATGAATCTAGATATCGAAGTATATCATATGACATCCCCGGAATAGGAAGAATAGGAACTGGCTTCCGTCGCAGGTACATTGTTTGGCCTTCAGGTGCCCAGAAGTTGTTGTCAAAGCTCCCTGGCCGGGAACCGGGGCGAGATGGATGGTCGGACAGTCGAGTCTCGGTCCCGCATAATCAAGTTGCATTCAAAAGGGGAGTTAACGGATGATTAATGGATGATTAATGGATTCTTGATGGATTATGAATGGATTGTGAATGGATTATGAATGGGATTTAATGAAACATAAATCCCTATGGATCCTGCAGTGCCTTCTTAGGAAGTACGACTGGGGTATGACGACTAGGGGGTCAGCCGTACCTTCTCAGATAGTGTTTGGATCCACAGGGAAGTGGTAAATGTAATGGAAAAATAGAGGTAGTGGTAAACAGTAGAAACTGTAGATAATGGGAGAGTGTAAAATTGTGATAAATCATGATAAATCTCTGTCGCAGATGACCCTCGTATGGCATTGATATTAGGATTTGTGGGGAGAGCGCTTGCTGCCAGTTGCAGGTCCTCAAGAGGGTTCAAACCACATTTGCACAGCAGAAAACGGTTTGGGAGGACCCCAGTTGAGTTGTTTTTTGAGGTTTTGCTGTCCCTATTTGGAGGTTTCCTACAATGGGGAGTAATGGGAGTACCCGGATAGCTGGATGATTTATAATGGAACATGCTATTAAAATGGATGATTTGGGGGTAGCCCCATGTTAGGAAGCCTCCATTTCAGTTTTATCGTTGAATCGACCCTGGGTGGTTTCCACCAAAGCCCCCGGGAACCATTTATGTGGGGGTTTCCAAACCATAGGGATACCCCCAAATCATCCAAGTCGTTGAACAACTTTACTATTGAAACCTATGGTTTTGACTGGGGATCCCCCATTTTAGGAAACCTCCACATCCATATGTTGCAGTTACAATTGAATACCACAATATACCACAAACTTAGAAATAGCCTTCACCAAGAGCGGGCAACCAATGAAACTTGATAGGAGACCACTATACTTGGAGGTGATCGTTCTGGTAGTCACTGGCACCGGGACGGACATCTCCATAATCTATCATGATCTCAGCAGTTAACCCGATGAATTGTTTGCAAGTTCAGCATCGAGCACTGCCTTGTCCTGAATATTCTCCACAAGATCCCATTATTCGGAATATGATTCCCATGAATAGAGCCATATCGCCATATAGCCTTTGGTCAACTAATATGGTAAACTTTCCAGTTAGTTGGATGATTTACCTATCAAGCCTGGTGATTTTCCAGCGCGCAATGTGAAATTACCACAGGATGAAGGTCCCAAGATAGCGTTCAGTTGCCTTATAAGTGGCTGAATTCTATGGTTTATCGTAGATATAACTATCTGGTTGGTGGTTTGGAATAGTTTCTATTTTTCCATATATTGGGAAGTTCATCATCCCAACTGACGAACTCATATTTTTTCAGAGGGGTAGGTCAACCACCAACCAGTAGTTAATGACATGAGGTTTATAGTGGTTTATAAACCAGCTTATACAAGGTGGTGCCCCATAGTTAGCTAAGTTGGTGAACATAACTCCAATAACTTGGATTTATGGTAGATATACCGAACTACTGTTCATGGGGGTTGTAAACCAACTTATAACTGGGGAGGCACCAGCCCCCATAACTCTGAGGCCCCACAAGGTATTGGCTTGTTGCCCAAGGCTGCCTGTGAACCAGCCAGTGGACAACTTCATGGCCCTCCTTTGTGCCGATCGGGACTTAAAGGCGAGGTGAAAACGGTGAAGCCACGGGGAAACCATAGGGGAAACCGTGGGGAAAAACCCAGCTATGGATGACTGCTGGATGACTTCATGGTACCATGGGCTACCCCCACTCAGGAAACCTCTGGGTTTCAAGGTGAGGCTTTATGGCAAGGTGAACTAGTGACTACAACTGCAGTTAGATGGGCAAATGTAACTAGGGGACTAGGGGGCACAACCTTGCAAGATCTTGTAGATATGAGTTTTTTTCATTGGCATCCAAAACTGAAAGCCCTAGTGCGGCGAAGTGTTTTAGATTAGATTAGACATATAGCAACCCCCCAAAAGATAGGAAAGTCCAATGTATCACTATTTTAGTAGGTTTGTTCTCTACTAAGGTTTTTCTATTACCGTGAATTGAATCTAATGCTCCAGACAGTATTAAATGTTCCAGTGTTTTTTTTGTTTATGTGTCCATGAGTTTTGGTGAGTAAATCTAATATAGTTTCTTTTCTTTGTTGATAGTGGTCACTATGATCTGATATAGGTAGGTTCTTGTCTGAACCAGCTACTTCTTGCTCGTCTGACCATCAAATAGGGACACCTCCTAGGTCCCTCACATGTTGAATGGATGTTCCCCTATTTCAGAGGCAAATTTGCAGCCACGTCCAAATGAAGGAAATCCACGTATTTCCTCATGAACTCCCAATGGGAAACCGCCATTGTTGATGCTCAGTCGACATCGTGACATGGACGGTCAAAACCCCATCATTTCTGATATGGGGATAGGTCAGCCTACCTACTATTCCCATTAATTTATCCCATATGTTGGGGGAATCTACATCCATTAACCGAGGCATATTGCACCCTTCCGAAGATCGTGCATCAAGCGGACGGTTGGAATGTCCCTGGCCTCCGGGCCGGCCGGTGTTGGAGTGTTGAGGATGTCTGTTTCACTATAATACAGATGAATACAGTGCAGTATATAATATATAATCTGTATACATGATGCTTGAAGTATGTATGAGTATTATATATATATACATATATATGTTTCTGTGTATAGGTGTATGTATGAATGTATATGTATATATGTGTTTGTTTGTTGTAATGCATGCCATGCCATGTCATGTATATATAGCATGTATGCATATTATATATATATGCAAAACAGGCCGAATCAAACTTCACACGAATCCCAGAAATAGGCCATGAGAACAGGGCCCCTACCAGTTCCAAATGGGGTTATTTTTTTAGTTCAGGTTAATCCCCCAGAGTTCTCTACCAGCTCAACGGTGTTTTCTTTGTTTCGGCCCAGCTATATCACTTCACGTTGATATAGCTGGAGTGCGCCAATCCTTAGCACGGCTGCACGGCTCGGTAAACCATGCAGACATGGATGTAGAGATTTCTGTCTTGGGCATGATGACAATATTTTGCCACTGAAGAATTCCCCCATATAAAATCAAAGAAACATATAGCATCATATAGCCATATAACCATATCCCTTCCTCCTACATCAATATATCATAATTGGATGTAAGTATGATCTCTCACACATCAAAAACTGCAGTACTCATATCCAACAAAAACCATAATGCAAAAAAAAAACATGAATACATTTTCATAGTCACCACAAAAAAGGTGTGGTGTAAGCCATTGGACCTCTTCATCCCCAGGTCAAGTCTGATGTGGGCCATTCTGATGAAGCACCAGCGCCCGGGGTGCGAAGTCCTGGAACCTTTCTGGATTCGTAGCTCCAAGTCCGTGCAAGCATCCCCATGTTGGGAATGTGGATAGCCATACTGTGGATGGTTGCGAGTTATCACCAGTTGGTAACTATTGGGAAGTATGAAAAGTATGAAACACTGAAGATCCTGGAATAAACATAAACATTGACTATTGGGAAGTATGAAACACTGAAGATTTTATGGAATTTTTACATGGACCAACTGGTGCAGGATTTCCCAACCATCCACAGCTCCTAAACGTTCGCTCCCTTCGTTAACCACTTCTCCCTGAGCCGGCCCTGTTTTAATAAACTGATCTTGCCGATAGCGAAGTACCAGGTCAGGATTTGTTGCATCGCGTGTATCCACGGATTGCTGTTTGGAGAAAGATGCTGCTAATTACCCTCTGGTAATTTAACAAAGCTATTGAACATGGCCCATAGAAATAGTTGATTTACCTATTAGACATGGTGATTTTCCATAGCTTTTTGTATGTTTACCAGAGGATGTATGAACAAAAACGCCTCTTCTAGACTCATCAACTCCAAGCCACGGTAGCAGCATACCTTATGGATCAACAATAAACTGGACCTCTTCTGGGCTTGGGCAAAACGGGGTCCAGGAAAATCGGGATGGTGTACCAGTGAAACTCACGAAAATCTGTAGGTTTGGGGCACAAATGCCAACAAATTGGAGTTTCCTAATGGGGGTACCGCCAAATCATCCATTTATTTTTATTTCTATATAAACTTTCCATTTTGGGGTACCCCCACTTTAGGAAACCTCTAATTCCAGTGGTCAAAAACCTCAAATCTTCACACCAAATGCATGGTAGTTATGGATAACAACCTCCAGCTGCCGTTACAGAAAACCATAGCTGGTCAATTCCCAAAGCACCAATTACGTTAATGGCCCTGTTGATGTTAAATCCCTATTGTTGTTCTGGAAATTGCCATACATGTACGAGCCCCACTTTAGGGTATGATGTGTTGAAGTAGTCATCATACTTTTAAAAAAATGTTGTTGATGGCAAAATCCGCTTCCATATATTTTGAACCTGCGGTATCACACTTTAAAATGTATTATCACATATTATCACACTATGCTCATTTATATTTATACCCCCCATTCCGGACAGTAATTTGTGTGTTGTTTTCATTGTTCATACTTCTAAATCCTCTTTCCATCTTCAAGACCATTGGTTTAGTTGTTGTTTCCATTGTTTCTACCCCTCATTCTTCAAGGTTCCATCCCACTTTTCCCATATTTCCTATGGTTCCCTCCAACATGTTGGTGAAACCGGCGCCCAGGCGGTGATCTCGGACGTCTTTCACACCGACGACAAATACTGGGGCGAAGGCGCCCTGCGAGCCCGGGATGGGGACGATTCGATGGACGCTGATGGAGGCGCTTCACACAGACGTATCAGATCCTTATGGTAATCCTACCATCTGGTTATGACTAACATAGCCATGGTATAGATGGCCCATAGAAATAGATGGTTTACCTATTAAAAATTGTGATTTTCCATGGCTATGTTAAATAACCAGATGGTATATGAAAAAATTGACATGGCTTATAATGGGATTATCCTCTGGTAAATAATGAAATAGAATGGTATACAAAGTTAAGTTGGTCTACCCTTTGGCAAGCGATTCGTGGCGATTGAACATGCTGAACGAGATTTCATGGAAAAAACACATACAGTATAATTGTAAATTATATACATATATATACCAATACATATATATATATATATACCAATATATACCAATATATATATATATAGCATCAGGCAAAACATCCATAGCCACTCTCTTGTTGCCAACTTTGTGTGAGCGTGGCTGCTGGCCATCCTTTCCAGTTTGAACTGCCAACCATAACCATTGTGTAGACTTGTTTGAGCGCTTGTCCTTTGAAGAGCCTGCCTTGCTCTTTGGGAAGGCCTTTGCCTTGGGTTTCCAGATTGTTTTGCGGTAACATAACTGCACCAGCCCCTGATTTTTGAAACTTTGAAGCTGTCAGATTGTCAAGGGTCAGTCTTGGAAACAGCTGATTAGGCCTCAGGGCCCCTGCATAAGGATGACACGCACTTTGAAGATGTAGGTTGAAGCTGTCAGACTGTAAAGGGTCAGTCTTGGAAACAGCTGATTAGGCCTCAGGGCCCCTGCATAAGGATGACACGCACGTCACAGAGAACTTGGTGGGCCTATGGCTCAAGATTGGAAAACAAGCTGCTGCATGGAGCGTCGTGGGTTATGAGCCCAACATGTCGCTTGTGCGCCGCCGAGACGCCTCCGTGCAGAGACGTGCTGCTAGCGCTGCGGCAGCAGCAAAAGCAGCGGAAGCAGCTGATGACTTGATGGAAAGCCTCTTGGAAGACAGCGCCAAGGAAAGGGGGTCAAAAAACCAAAGAGCCTTAGAAAGCGGACCACTTAGGGAGCATGCCGGTGAAAGAGGTAGAGCTGAGGGTGGGATGCTAGGGGACTTGGTAGGAAACCCGTTGACCTTAGGCAATGTTGACCTTGAGGATAGGCCCACAAGGAGTCAGAACCCTGAAGTCCGAAAGGTTGTTGTTGGTAAGTCTGAGGGCAGTGAAGCTAGGAAGGAGTCACCGAGGTCAAAGTCAGCTGAACCCCGAGCCCGTTTTGCTGATGAACCGCCAAGGGGTGAAAGACCGAAACCTAGTGGAAATGGCAAAGGTGTAGGAACTGGTGAGAAGAATCCACCAATAAGGAATCCGAGGAATTCCCCGGATGGTGTGGCTGGAGGTGGAGTGAAAGTCATCCCGCCTCCGGGCGGCGAATCAGTTTTGGGAGGTTCAAGTAGTAGGGGAGTTGAAAGCTACTACATAGGCGAACCTGCAGGAACTGAGGAACGTCGAACTGAGGCATGCGGATCTCAGTTGGGTTCTTCGAGACCTGTTGATCCTTGGCTTCATTGTGCCTCGGCTGGTATCCCTCCGGATGGCACTTCGTATCTTGGCGGGAATCAGCAGTGCCTTGGAAGCTGGGATAGGGTGAACCCCTTCTGGAGTCGTGAAACCCAGGTTGAAGCCACCCGGATGACTTGTGGAAATGTGGGGGGATCCCAACAAAATACTCCCCAAAAAGGTCATGTGGAAACCGACCCGATTGAACTATTCCGATTGCGGTGTTTGAGGGATGCGGAAGAAAAGTTTAGGAAGGGTTTGGCACAGATGGCCGGTGACAACTGGTCTCATGGTTCGGTTGGATCCTTTGTTAGTGCAGGGGATGAAGAAGCTTTTGTGCCACCACCGCCACCGGGCCCTCCGCCGAAGTCGCCACCACGAACCCAGCAATCCACCAATTTGTTGTGTTTTGGGGGAACCAACCTGGGGCAGTTCATTCCACCCTTTCCGCAGTCAATGGATGGTAGTGGGAATTCCCGACATGTCATGGGTGAAAATGCTGGCGAGACCCTTAGGTCTTTTGAGCTTCCGGTTTTGCATGAGAATAGCACACCCCTCCAATATGGTGATTGGCTTAGCCTGGTTGACTCACTCATGGGAGACCTTTCATACACTTCAGACATGTGGTGGGGAATGGTTCGCAATGCAGTTGAGGTGAGCTACAAGGAATGGCTTGTCTCTAATCCCATGGATAGACTGAGGATCAAACCTAAGGTGGATCCCAGGGCGGCTGGTTGGCCGAGAACGGAACGACGTGCCTTGGCGATGCTCCTAGCAGCAATTCCTGAGTCAATCCGAAATGAGATCGTTTCCACCCGAAGGATGTCAACTGAACAAGTGTTGTTTAGGCTCAGCGTTGTGTTTCAGCCTGGAGGGTCCCAGGAGAGATTCAAGTTGTTGCAAAGCCTGACGGATAGCAAGTTTGGTACCAGCGCTCCTGATGTCCTGGAATGGGTGCGAACATGGAGAAGGCAGGTTCGAAGGTCTTTGGAACTGGGAATCGTGCTGCCTGATGCATTGGTTTTGACTGGTATCCTCACCAAATGTGCCGATGTGTTGTGTGCCAAGTCACCACAAATCTCATACCGGTTGAACATGGTTCGTCAACAAATTGGTTTGGACTATCAGCCCCATGTCAACACCATTTTGGTTTTTGCGGAACATTTGCAAGCTGAGGCCGAAGAGTTGTCACTGAGTAGCCATGGAAAAACTCATGTAGGACAAGTGAAGGCTGCAGCTTTGTCCGTCCCTCCGGGGATCGAGCAACAAAGTGATGCGAAGCCTGAGCCTTCCACCAAAAAGCCTTGTAAGTTTTGGATGACCGAGAAGGGATGTAGGAGGGGTGATGGTTGTCGGTTTGAACATGTTGCTTTGGATCCCAAAAGCGGTAGATGTTTTGGATGTTCGGCTGTTGGGCACTCCCGAAAAGACTGTCCCCACAAGAATGGTGAATCAAGGGGTGATGGCCACAAAAAGACTGCCAAACTCAAGCAGGTGGACAAGGAGGCCAACCCTCAAAGGGAAGGGAAGGGCACGAGCACCAAAAAACCCAAGGGTGTTGAATCCGAAAGCGGGTCAATTTCCAAGATTGATACTGGGTTGACGGTACCACCAGGGTTGGAAGAGACCACCAAGGAGCATGGGTTAGGGGAGGATGCTGTTGTTCAACTGTTGTCGGAAACCAACACCATTTTGAAGACTATGAACCCAACCATGAAGGCTGTCAAAATCAAAAGGATTGACCATGACTCAATGGGAACCGGGCTTTTGGATGGAGGTGCAACCAACCCCCTCCGACGGGGCAGTCCGCAAGAGCTTGCTGAATCTGAGGTTGTCTTGGTCGAACTAGCCCATGGTACTGTAGAGCTACGACAACACCCGTTGACTGGTTGTATCCTCACTGAAAAGCATGTTGAACCAATTGTGCCATTGAGAGGACTCATCGACCTAGGGTATGTGATCAAGTGGTCTTCAGCTGGTTGTGAAATTCGACACCCCACGAGAGGAACCATCAACTGTTGGCTACGTAGTGGTTGTCCGGTGGTTTCTGAACCTCATGCCTTGGCTCTGATCAGTGAAATTGAAGCTGTGGAGCGAGCTAAGAGAGGGTTTCCCACCATGAATGTTGAACTTTTGGATGAAGTTTCTGAATGGTGGTCCCAACGGTTCCCCGAAGTCCCCAAAAGGGTTTGGAGGTTCATGGCTGGTCAAAATGGCACTTGGAACGCTTCGGAGTTGCCGTGGAATAGGGCCCAGAGACGTCGCCATGCTACAGCCAAGGCCCTGATCATCCACTTGTACTCAGGTGCGGACTCTAAGGAATGGAGAGATCACTGGCCGGACGATGTGGAGGTGATCACGGTCGATGTCAGGGAGGGCCAAAACGCCCACCACGCAGCGACTTGGGGGTACTTGTGGCAGCTGGCGGGATCAGGAAGGGTCATTGGTATTATAGGGGGCCCACCCTGTAGAACCACTAGTAGGTTGCTTGACCAAAAACCAGGACCACCTAGATTGCGTAGTCGAGAAGGGCTGGAACGATTCGGATTTGGTCATCTGACTTTATCCCAACAACAAAAAGCTGATGGTGACACTGCCCTCCTATTCAAGCAGGTAGGACTGTACATGCACGCTGAGGAGTCATGGAAGTACGGTGGTTGGCCGAAGGGCACCGAAACGGTTCCAAATCGGGTTGGGTTTTTGTTGGAATCACCCGAAGACCCCAAAACGTACCTGTTGAATGATGAAGGTGAACATGCGGCTAGTTTTTGGACATGGCCTGAAATCATGGGTTTTTGCGAAAAGTATGCACCTATGGGAATGCAGATGGTTCACTTTGACCAGGGTTGCTTTGGTCACCAGCGGAAAAAACCCACGTCATGTATGACCAACCTGCCTGAATTTGATGAACTCAATGAATGCCGTTGTGGTCCCAAAGAAAAGTCCCTTGAAACTAATCTCCCCGAAAGGTTGGTCCAAACCGCAAGTTGGGCTACATGGGCTCCAGGGTTGAAAAGGGCTATTCGGTTGTCCTTGCTGTTGATATGTGAATGGCATGGGATCAGGTCTCCCAAAGTAGCCAAACTCACTGGGTTGGATAGCTGGAAACAACACTTGATGCAGCAGCACCGACCATACCGTAGGGATTGCCGTGAGTGTGCACTTGAGATGGCCTCCGGGCGTCCTCACAGGCGTAGGGAACATGGTGGATCATCGGCTTGGACCATGGCTATTGATGCGGTTCCCATGAAATCTGCAAAGGACTTGTGCACGGGAAAGGTCATGAAGTATGCACTAGTAGCCACAGCCCTTGTACCTGTCTTCACTCAGGAAACTCAGGACTCAGGAACGGATCCGGAAGAACGTGACCCAGCTGCTCCTTGGGATGTTGTGGATGCCTCTTGGGGGGAGGGTGATGAAAAACCGATGGCTGATGAGAATGATGCTGATGAATATGAACCATCGATTGCGGACGATGAGGTCCCCGAAGGTAACAGTGGCGAAGCTGTTCCTATGGGTCCTCCGGGTGCTTGTGATGCATCCGGGGCGGCGGAAGCTGATGATTTGGAAAAGAAAATCATGGACATGAAAACCCCATGGAAGGTTAGACATGCGACTATGGTTGAACCAATCCAATCAAGAGCTACTGCCCATGTGATTAAGGCCCTGGATACCATCCTCACCAAAATGAACTATTTGGGGGTCACGGTTAGGAGGTTGCATTCGGATAGAGCGAAGGAACTCTTGGGTGAAAGGTTTCAGTCATGGATAGCCCACCGCAACATCTATCATTCCTTTACTTCTGGTGATGATCCCCAATCCAATGGCCATGTGGAATCTGAAATTCACCAAATCAAAAGGAGAACCCGATTGTTGCTTCGGCTTTGTGATCAACCCATGGATTGTTGGCCTCAAGTGGTTAGGTATGTGGTTGACGAACGGTTGAGAACCCAACTTTCAGCACTTGGTTCACCAGTGACTCCCATGCTACCATATTGGTCTGAAGTAGCGGTCAAACGAAAACGATGGCATGATCCTGGCCCCTTGGCTTCACCGTTTGTGGCAGGTAGGCTGTTGGGTGCTAGTCCATATATGACCAATGGTTGGATGGTTTTAACCAAGGATAACCAAGTCGTTCATGCACGGGAAGTACTTGTCCCAGACCCGTTGCAAGATCAAGCACGACTGCAGTTGATTGAAGAAACAAGTGGTCCCCCTCACATGCTTGAAGTTGATCCCAAAAAAAACCCAATGCGGTTAGTGGGAAAACAGCCCATGCCGGGTCGGATGCGGATACCACCTCTCTCAGAAATGCCGAGGTTGAACCTCGGGGGGGAGTTCTCTTCTGTAGTTCAAAAGTCGGATGATCAGGTTCCACCCCAATCCACAAAAGAACGTACGGGGGAGTCGGGGGAAAGAGAAATGTTGGAGATTTGCGACCAAATTGAAAGAGACATGGATGAGAACAATGTTGAACTCAAGGGTTGTGCGGTTTTGGAAACTCCCGAGAACCACCAAGAACGTTTGGGTAGGGTTGTCAACTTGGAGGATTGGCAGAGCGCCTTGGCTTGGCACCATGGACGTGTCACCAGATCACTGGCTGCATGGTTGGAAGTTGTTCCGATGACCGAACAACTGGGAGCGCAGTGTGCCTTGCAACTTGGCTTACTGCAAGCTGAAAGGAGTGCCTTGGAAAACCAGCTTAGGGTTGGGTTGGACCTCCAAAAACTCCGAGAAGTTCGGTTGTGCGGGTTACAAGTTGATGAAGCGGCCCCGAAAGATGGTGATGATGAAGTACTGCAAACTACCACGGTTTCTTTGGTGGATGTTCGGAAGGAGTTACCACTATGGGTTGATGCCATGAAGAAGGAGTATGATAGTCTCATTCATGAAACAAAGGCCATAGAGCCAATCGATGTTGATGATCTCCCCGAAGGATCTGAACTTGTCCCCGGAAAGCTTGTGGCAGTTAGGAAGGCTGGCCCCAAAGGTGGTAGGAGGAAGTGTAGGGCTGTGGTTTGTGGTAACTTGCTAAATGGTGCTAGTGATCCCATTCCAAATAGCTATGCTTCTGGAGCTGATGGTACACTCATTCGAACCACCATACAACACTCAGTGACCAAGGGTTGGGGTATGGGTATCCTGGATGTACGTACCGCCTTTCTCTTGGCGCCTCGGCCTCAGCCCACGGAAAGCCAACGAGAAGTGATAGTGACCCCACCAAAAGTGATGGTTGAAGCGGGGGTGTGCAAGCCACGGGAAAGATGGCGTGTGCACCGTGCTCTATATGGCTTCACCTCGTCGCCGGCGCATTGGGCTATCTACCGTGACAGCACCTTGGAAAAAATGACCTGGATGGATGGTGACCAACCGTTCTTTTTGCAGTCCACTGCCGAGGGTAACCTCTGGAAAATCATGAAGGGAAAAAAGGATGAAGGGTCACCTGGTTGTGTTGGACATGTCATAGTTTATGTGGATGATATTATGGCGTTGTCTACCCCCGAAATCCGTGAAGGGTTTTTCCAAAGGGTCAAACAGGAGTGGAAATGTTCAGATGTTGAAACCGTAGGTCAGGACCAGTGGGCTCGTTTTTGTGGCTTTGAACTGAAGTGGAAAAATGATACTCAGCTGATGATAGGTCAGGAGTCCTATACGAGGGAGTTGCTGAAACGACACTAGGATGTTATCCCCCGAAGTAGTCCCATGCCGAAGGTTGATATCCCCGAAGAAATAGAAGATGATGCCACGGCTCAAGAGGTCAAGGCTGCTCAAGGGTTGACTGGTGAACTACTTTGGCTGGCAATTCGTAGTAGGCCCGATCTTTCCTATGCGGTGTCGGTTATGGGAAGGCAATCCACCAAGCGACCGAGGCTGACTGTGATGTTGGGAAAGCATGTGTTGGGTTTTTTGGCTACCACAGTTGAACACTGTTTGATGTATGAAGCTGCAAAACATGATCATGGACCTTTTCAAACACTCCAAGTACCTAGGCATGACAACCTGTTGGAAGCGTTTTCTGATGTGAGTTTCGCCCCTCAGGGGGACAAGAGCTGTCAGGGTGTTGTGGTGTGCCTCGGGGGCTCTCCAGTGCAGTGGGAAGCAGCTAGGCAACCGTTCCACACTCTGAGTACTGCTGAGTCGGAGTTGGTAGGGTACTGCGAATCTAAGCTTATGCTGTCGTCGGTTGAGGCCTTGTTGGAAGTCTTGAATGCCCCCCATGGACCACCTCGGCCAGTTGAAAAAGTCATTTATGGTGATAATTGTAGTGCCATTAGTATCGCTAGTAACAGTGATGGAGGATGGCGCACACGTCACTTGAGACTGAGAGCCTCAGGGCTTAGGGAAGCTTTGAAGGATCCCGCTGAAAACCTGACTTTGAGACACCTGAAGGGTACTGAACTAGTGGCGGATCTGTTGACCAAACCAATAGTGTCAAAAACTGAATGGGTTCGGTTTTGGGTCTTCTTGAATTTTCATGTTGGCTCGTCTGACCTCCTGGCTCCTAAGGTGACTAAGGTGCGGATGGCGACTGAGGTACCTGTGGACGACCACTTCAACTCCTTCAACCAAGTTGTGGACCTCATGAAGGCCCTGGCGCGGGCGGCAGCTGAAACTGGCGGGCGGCTGCGGGCGGCTTGCTCGGTGATGCTGACGGCGCTGACTTCGGCTTGGCGTTGGATAGCTGCTGGACGTGCCGAGGCAGCTGGGACTGTAGTTGCCCTTGCTGATCCTGCAAAGGTTGAGAAGAGGGGGGAGGAAGAAATAAAAAGAGCCAATGGCCTGAAAAAGAAAACTCAAGAAGCTAGGGAGAACGAACCAGCTCAAAAAAGGAAGGAGGAACCTCCGAGGGTGAAAGGTGAACCCGGTGGTTCAAATTGGCCCAAGGAACATGAACTGGGACCAATTTCAGAAAATCCACAACCTTTTGGGGAATCCCCCAACTGTTTTGGGAGTGAGCCAAAAAACCACGAAGGGCCCCCTTTTGGGTTGTTTGATGGGCCGATGGTAGGTGCAGTGGAACGTGGTGGAAAGGCGCTTGAACTTGAAGGTAGAAAAAGGCCAGCTGTGTGGCCAACCTCACCTCAAGTGAACCACTGCCCGCAGGGCTGCCCATCCAACCGGCCGCGACCTGTGCTGAAGGCCATGGCGTCTACTGCGGCGGCTGCTGCTGCGAGGCCTTGGGAAGGTGGCCGTTTGATTGCTCCGCCTACTGGCCCCAAGGATCACTGGAGGGTGATGGAGGAAGGCGGCGTGATGTGGATCTTGAAATGCCATGTCAAGCCACGCTGGCAGCCTTTCCACCCCTTGAAGGGTACTTTGCCCTGTGGTGCTGCTGCCGACCTGGAACTATTGAGGGTGCAGGTTCGTTTTGGACCTACAGGGAACCGGAGTGTCTTAGAAGATTCCTGGATGGATCCGGTCCTGAAGAACCGTGAAGAGAAATGGACCAGCTATACGCTGTTCCGAATGAGGAGAGCACCAACAACGGCACCTACCGCTTCGGGGTCGAGGCTGGGCCCTCGAGCGGGCTACCTGGGGAACTACCAAGGAGATGAAGGCGGCCACTCCGATTTGGAAGTCATGGTGGGCAGGCGAGTCCACATCCAAGTCAACCGGTCCGCCGGGTCTGAGAGTGGGCCCCGCTTACACAACTATGCCGATGTGGGTGAAGCGTTGGGTATGGGCCCCTATGTCGGTATGACTTCACCGACTCCAACCACCGAGTCCTCAATGGTGCACGGCCCTGCTCGAAGCTTCGCCGCCGAAGACCAACCAGTGGTGAGCCGCAGAAGTGAGACAAGCAGCCGTTACGGAAGACCTCAATCGATCCAGGCTCGAGGACAAGCCGTGATGCCAAGGAGTTTTCGACCTGGGGAAGACCATGATTGGGAGCTTGTGACTGAGGATGAGGAGGAAGACTGAGAGCCGGGGTTTTTGTTTTCCACGAGGAAAAGGGGGAGTGCGGTAACATAACTGCACCAGCCCCTGATTTTTGAAACTTTGAAGCTGTCAGATTGTCAAGGGTCAGTCTTGGAAACAGCTGATTAGGCCTCAGGGCCCCTGCATAAGGATGACACGCACTTTGAAGATGTAGGTTGAAGCTGTCAGACTGTAAAGGGTCAGTCTTGGAAACAGCTGATTAGGCCTCAGGGCCCCTGCATAAGGATGACACGCACGTCACAGAGAACTTGGTGGGCCTATGGCTCAAGATTGGAAAACAAGCTGCTGCATGGAGCGTCGTGGTTTTGCATGGTCTTCTTGTAGCAATCCTATCAGCAGCTCTAATGTAGGATCCTCTCTTCGAAGCAGGCTTTCCAACCATGCGGCCGACTCTGCCAACTGCAGTCTCATCCACAGCACATCTCTCCTTGTTACCGCCTATCTTGTTCAACCTTTTCTTCTTCACAAACTTGGATAAGGACTCATAATATATATATATCTTCTGCCACCTGTAAACCACTGCTCTACCAGTGCCATGTGCTGACCCAAGCTCATCCACAATGCGATTGATTCTTTCATTGCATAACATAAAAACACAGAAGTGCAGAAAGGACAGAAGATTCTGGACACGCACTTGTGGCAAGCATGGCACAGTGAAGTGGCGCTTGAAATGTGTCTTGTTTCAGTTGTTGTTGCAAAGCCACAGCAGCTCATTTGCACTTCTGCCCTGTACCAATGTACATGATGCCTTGCACACAGAGCATTTGATAGGAGCGTCCACAAGTTCACAGTGCATAAAAACACACATGGCTCGTAGGGCTGCACTATCTTCAAACTCTTGGCAATCCAAATCCTTGTACATGATCTCCTTCTGAAATGAAGAAGAAGTACTGAACATAGAGTCATCCAGAGTCTTTCGAAAAGTATCCATATCCATTGCTTCAAACAGTAGCTTTGGCTTCTTCCCCCTTGTAGAGCCAATGGCCACTATTGTAAAACACTGTAAAAAGCTCTTAATGATACTATACCCATATGTATATATATATATACATATATATATACATATATATACATATATATATATATTCATATAGTTTGTTATTACACTTCACACAGACACACTATCCTCCATGATTTTCTATCAAAAACAATAGAAATCAAGACCCAACTCATGGCCTCTATAGCCAGTTCCTACTTTTGTTTGGAGTTACCCTAGGGTAAAGAGACAAAAAATGTGGATACAAAACATGAATGTAGATATGTTCCATTATTTTCCTAGGGAAACCATGGGTTTTTCCACATCTACGTAAACGTTTACCCTAGGGTACTATAAAAGTCACCCACAGAACTGCAAAGGATGCTGGGCCACGTATATTTCACATGATGTAATCAAGAAAGTGTTGTTTCATCACCAAAGTCGTAGTTCAGTAACAAAGCGAATTTAGCCAACAAACAACCAAACAATAAACCCTCTGGTAAACGTTTACAAAAAACTATGGAAAGATCCACCACTTTTAATGGGAAAACTCACTATTTCTATAGCCATTTTCAATAGCTTTTTGTATGTTTACCAGGCCGGGTAACATCACTAAGAAATTGACCGCATCGGTTCTACAGGGTCAGCTGTGACTGAGGATGAATAACCCCCCACGTTTATTAGTGGAGCAGTACCATTTTTGAAAGAAAGTTATCACTATTGTTTGTGCTAACTCGCCCAGTTATCGTAATTCTCAATTGATACTCAGGAATCAGGATATATAAAAGTCCGGCTCTTATTTTTTTATCCGACAGTAAACGGATGGTTTCGACACAAACAACCTTGCCATTCGTGGGAACTGACAGAAAACCAGCAATTTTTGATGGTAAAATGACATGGTTTACTGGAAGACATCGACGCGTTACAGTAATTAACCCCCAACTAGATGTGATACCAAGGCGTTGACCCAGCCTGGTTATGACTCACAGTTCGCCATGGAAAGATCCACCATGCTATTAATAGGTAAACCATCTACTTCTATGGGCCATCTATACCATGGCTATGTTAGTCATAACCAGATGGTAACATCCAACTCATACCTGCAGGGTCTATGTCAGGAATTGGCAAATCGTATAAGCCAACATGCCAACAGTCAATGATAAACAATCACAGTTATCAGATCATCTCCAATTGTCCAGCATTGTCCAGCCTCCCGCACCGATGGATGTCACCAACATGTCAACATCAACAATCACCAAACTGCTTGGTGGTTTGGAACATGAACTTTATTTTTCCATTCAGTTGGGAATGTCATAATCCCAACTGACTAATTCATATTTTTCGGAGGGGTAGGGCTCAACCACCAACCAGATCAACAATTACCAAATGTCATCAACCACAATGACTTGTGTTACTTGGAGGGTTATCCCGCGAATCGTCAAGTGGTCAATAGCCCTGGTGAACGTAGCCGATTTGTGGATTCTCCATGATTGTCCCATTTATAAATCGCAAAAAAAAAACTTCCACAGTTATGGCCCAACTAACAGTTATAGATTGGATGAACTAACTCCTATAACTGGTTGGTTATATATCATGAAATGGGTATGGATCAATACCTATTAATACCATTTTTAATGGGATGAACATCCATTTACCAGCTATTTTGATGTTCACCAGGGGTACAAGGTTTTGACACACTGCCAAATAATCCCATGGGACCTTACCAAGCAGTTACTAAGCACTTAACATGGGACCTTTTTTTTTATACCATGGGCCACGGGATGATTTTGGGTCCGCTGAGGCCCTGCCAATCCGCACTTCGCGTGCACTTTTGGCTTCGGTTCCGACATCGTGAAGTCTGACGATCGATACTGGGGGTGCTTTGGCAGTGGCAATCGAGACAGAAAAACGGAGAGATTTTTTGTTAATGAATGTTAATGATGTTTATAATATATATATATATATTATATATATATTCCATATGTGTATATATATATATACATACAAACCGGGGAAGATTGGTAAATATCTACGCTTAAACAAGCAATGAAGATTGACCGACGGAAATGGGGATTCAACCAAACATGAAGAATGGGAATATAATAAATAGGATATCGTGGGATATTTTTCAGCAACAATATGATATGATATGAGTGGGTGTATATCCCCAAATCAGTGCGGCACAAAGCCACCTGGAGGTTGGATAGTTGGGATGTGTATCCCTTGAAAAATGGATGGCTTTTCTAAGCTATAACTGGGGTATGCATTGGGGAAGTGTTTTTTGGGGGATTACCATCAGGTAATCAAACATGGCACTGAAACATCTACCATTTATACATGATTTTCCCATAGTTTCCCATCTACGGGATGTTGGATCCTACTTAAATTGCTTAATTATACTAGTTGATATTCCAATGTTCGCTGCAAACCCTATGTTTGCCCACGACAGATCCCACATATTCTTTGACATGCTCAAATCCCTGTGCAAGCGCTTCTTAACAAGAACATCAATCTGAACCGACCTCAAACCTAAACCCTAAACCCCAAGCCCCAAAGCTCTTAACATCTTTAAACCCTAAATCCTGAAAGCCAAGCCGTCAAAATCGCTGCGGCAAAATCGCCAGTGCTTCCGGGCCTCAAAGGGGGGTTACAAGTTGCTTTGTAAAAGCCATTGACAAGTAGTTTCTGTATATCCCCCATTGCAGTTATGGTCCAACTAACTGTTCTAAATGGGATGAACTAACTCCTTGAACTGAGGTTATATATCAATCATGAAATAATCCCATTTATAGAAGTGTTACTGTAAGGGCCATAGCTGCATAGTTTCTGGAGGTACTCACAGCAACTTAGCTACTGGGTGGCCACCTTGTAGTCAGCATCTCCTCATAACTATAACAATTGACGAAAAATTTCCCAAGTATATCTATCCCTATGGATCCAGCCGTGCGTTCTTAGGAAGTACTTGGGGTATGATTTAGGGGGTGAGCTTCTCAGACAGTGGGCATGGATCCATACGCTTTTGGTGAATCGTACTATATCTCATTATATCACATTAAATAAAAATAATGTTGAATAATGTATGGTAGTAGTTAGCATCTCCTCATAACTATAACTATTGAATACTATTGACCACAATTGTCCCAACTATATATATATATCATATTCTATGATGATTATATGACATTTTGATGTACGATTCTCTCCAGGGTGTTTACCACGCGACGCTTTTCGTGGCGCCGGTGGTCGAGGTAGATCTACCTGATCGAACTCACCTGGGGCGTTGAGGGCCTTCGCCCCGGTGCTACACCATGGGCCATTTGGTTCGCCCTCGGAGCTCATCGCGCAATGCGCAACTCATGGGCAAAAGAAAAAAAGACAAAAACATGTTGAAAGAGATGGATGGGAAGAAGATTTTGAGATATGATCAGATATGATGTGAGCTCCGATGATATATAGTTTCTTCCATATATTGTGGTTTCCGCCGCAAGAACTCGTACGTGGAAGCCAGCACTGCCAACAGCCACTGGTCACTGTGGAGATCGCTCCCGCCATCTGCACGACAGAGGCTGTTTTGGCAAAACTGGGCCTTTGTTGGGCGGAGTTGGTGGGAATGGCTCAAATGTTTTCTGATGTGTTGTTTTGGAGTATGTTTCATATTGTTTCATCACTACAAAGCCTACCTGGCCCTGCAGCCTGCAGTTCCAAGTTGGTTTATACACCCATTCAGACCAATTTCGCACATTCCCTAGGGAAACACGACTTTTTGCCAGCACAAGGATTTCCAAGAATGCTGGCATGACCATAACCATCCATAACCCATAAGATCAAATCAGCTGGTTATATACATAATTATATATTTGTATAATCTTGTACAATTAATCTATACATATGCACACGCATAATTTTCCATGATATCCCGAGATGAAAATCTCCTAATTAGTGCTTGGTGAAATTCCAAAAAGGCACGGGCACGGTTTCTTCATCCCCATAGGATCACGGACAACCATGGATAACCCGTTTCGACTGGCCCCCAAAAGGGATGTGAATAGATCCAGTCGATCCAGTAGCTATAGATTGGTGAAGCAGTAGAGTTTCGTTTGGGAATGATATAACCATTATAGCTATAGTAGCTATAGTAGCTGTAGTAGCTATAGTAGCTATAGTAGCTATAGTAACTATAGTAGCTATAGTAGCTATAGTAGCTATAGATTGGTTTACTACTATAGCTACTGGATCGACTGGATCTATTCATGGTAAACCATTTGTTATGATGATGACATGAATGGTTTTATTGACATCCATCGATTGGTGAAGCTACCGACTCAATACTGTAGATCTGTCCAGTAACTCATGCGCTTGCATGGGGCATGTTACTTCACAGTGTCAGTGTTTGGACAGTCAGCTGCAGCAGACTGCACGCGTGCAAGATGCGGAGCAAATTCAGTTTCATGATGCCAATTGTGGAGTTAGAGGAAAGCGGTTGAAAGCGGTTCGGCACAGATCCATGAAGAACATGAGATGGAGTGAAGCATGTCACCTGAGCACCTGATCAAATCGGGCGTGATGTAACAGTACGTAATTTTAATAGTCTATACAGTCTATACATGTGAGAATCGGGTGTTTTTTATTGAATCGGGTGTTTCTTTTGTGTGATTAATCCATAAAAGAGACGCAGAAGTTCATCCATTGATTACATTGTTGTCATGGAAGCACATGGAATTGGATGACTTGTGACGACCTTACAACGCGACGTCACTTATCGTGAATTACTATCATCAGATGCATGGAATCCCAGCAGATATTTTGCATTGACAAACATCCAAGCCTAGGCTTATCATGTTCCAAGCGTAATACATATCGGTAAGCGTTTCATGAAAAAATGGGTTCGTCCCAACTTAGCCAACTAATTCCTATTAAATATCATTACATCGCCGTTTTTGATGGTGAAATACCTAACTTAGCTTGATGTCGGGGGAAACAGGGGCTGCTTTGTGAGTCATATTGGCCTAGTGATAACTGGAGGATCACCTTGGTTGCCATCAATGGAACAAATTGTTTGACCATGTCTGACCAGTTTTTGAAAGAGGGGCGCAAAGCGATGCAACTGGATGCAGACTTCAAGGTCTCCACAATTGGAAAAGGATTTACTTCTATACATCATCATCTATGTACATATGTTTAAATACATACATAATATTCCTTAGTAATGATATAGATAGATGGGACTTCGCAATGAATGCCATGAACCATTTCTTGATTTCTTGGTCAATAAGTCAGCCGATAGCTCCAGGGTCAGGGGGGCCTTCAGGGTTGGCACTGGGAAATGGTCTAGATCCAGTCTGAGATATGGAGAGCTTTTGCCCAATGGGCCTTTAACTTTGGTTTGTTTTTACATGTAAATTAATGCAGATTTATTACAGGATATTGTAATGTCATATATTAGAATAATGTGTAATTGTATATATATATATATGTGTGTGTGTGTTTTTCATTTTGAAATAACGGAAAAATCTGGCAAACGATATCCATGTGTACCAGGCAGTACCACACATATTTCCAGCATTTTTGAGCGGAAAGCCGTGGCTTGACACATGCTGTGCCGAGCCCTGCCGCAGAAAATAGGCGAACGACGGGGCGGAGGCACTGCAGGGGGAGCCGTTTGTCAGTGCACAAAGTCGTGATCTTAGGCCTGAGGCCATGAAAGAAGCAGTGATCCAAGCACCGCAGGCCAGGAGGTATTTGGAAGGGAAATGATCCTCCAACTGGAATTTGTTATGATGTTTTTCCTCCAACTGGGCTTGGTCTTTTTTGTTTTCTGCTGTTTTTCGACTGCAGGACGGTTTTGGTTCGAAACCACCGAATGATCAGCAAAGACGACGACTTTGTGCTATGTCAAATCATCCAGGCTCTGTATCTAATTTATACCGAGGCGTCAAAGCGGAGAAATCCCCCAGTTACCCTATGGTAAACTACCATTGCTACTGAAAATGGCCATTTACCCATAAAAAAAATTGTGATTTTTCATAGCTATGTTAGTTTACCGGCGGGTATATGCGGCTGTCAGGGAGTGCCAAGTTGTGATTTGCCGTTCTTCTACTTTGGGGTGTGAAGCTAGAAATGTGTATTTCACTGGCGAAATAACCACCATAAGTTGGGATATAGATATAACATGATATAACCATATATATATAACCCATATAAGGACAATTAAGTATACTTATATCCACCCATAACTGGAACTGCACTTTCCAAGTATTCATCAAGCCATCTAGCCCATCGCAAGAATCCCAATGAGAAACGCTATCGACCTTGATTCATGGAGATTCTACGATCGTATTTGGGACGCAACCAGACGCGCACTCCCTGGGCAGCTTTCAGGTTAGGAATCGAGCGACTTGCAAGGGATACGCGCGCAGTCTCCCAGCTGTGACATGGCAACTTCCCAGTTCTGAAATCTCAGTCCAAATGCAATCATGAACATGTATTCGATACATGTTAATTTAACATGTTCATATATATATATATTATATATATATAGTATATATATATATTATATATATACATAGTATATATTATATATATACATAGTATATATTATATATATACATAGTATATATTATATATATACATAGTATATATATATATTATAGTATGTTATATATATATATATATTCATTTATTTATAGATTGTAATTATATCGGTATCGTATATCATGATAATGTGTTGTTTCACTACACGAATTTGCGGTGGACAAGAGTGAGAAAGCGACCCAGGTCCGATGTCTTCGGAGGCAGCGTTCAATCTTTTGGTTCAACCCTTTCAAATGGTGCAACCTGGCATAACTCAGGATTAAAAATGAGTTGCATTAAAAATGAGTTGCATGTCAAACATGATTTTTCTCAGTATGTCAGACTGTTAGTAATTCAAATGTCATATAGCCATAATTAGGCATAATTTGGAGATATTTGGAGGTCAATTATATTCTGTTTCCCCGTGTTGCATGACGTTAACCCACCTGAACATGTCAGCTGACTGTGCCCGCGATCGTTTCATGAGCCGCCAATTAAGACGGCTCGTCATCAGGGGGACCCAACTGGCGCCGGTAGGATGTTAATGGAGCACGCTCGGTGAGGTCGGATGAAACAAATGAAGCAACCAGGCGTCAAGGTTCTCCATGGCTTGATCTGGATATGTATCTGGATATATGTGGTTTATGGTTTGAATTTTGTCATTATGTTCAATCCTATTTGTGATGATGATCTATGTATATATATATATATATATGTACATTTATACACGTGTTGGGTTGGGGATGGGTTGAAAGCACCAACCAGAATATCATGATCTTCCTACTGGGTTTCTTCTCGACTTCCCAAGGGGGGCACTCAGGTTTTGTAACCAGTGGATCGAGTAAGTCAAGTTGAAGCAATGGAACAAGGGACAGATGGGCTTTAAATATGTCAAGACAAGGTGGTGCCGCATAGTTAGCTCAGTTGGTGAACATAACTGCAATAAGTAGGGTATATGGTAGGTATATCCAACTAGTTACTATGGTTTTTTTGGACCATCTGACAGCTGGGGCAGCACCTAGCGGCCCTAGCTATTGGGGAGCTGGGATTCTTTGGGGAACACGGGGGGGAGGCCTTGAAAACTGAAAAACAGTTGGATTCTTTGAGGGAGCCGTTGAGGAAAACCACGTGTGGTGGATATATTTTATCCGCAAGATTGATCAGTACCCTCTGGTAATTTAACATAGCTATTGAAAATGGCCCATTTATAGTTGATTTACCTATTAAAAATTGTGATTTTTCATAGCTATGTTAATTTACCAGAGGGTATCTCCCTAAAGTCAAACTTGTATCTCTTGCTATTTCTTGACAGCAGATGGCATACATATCAACTCCCATGGATCCAGCCGTACCTTCTGAAAGGAAGTATGACTGGGGTATGACGACGTTTCGGGGGTGAGCCGTACCTTCTCAGACAGTGGGCATGGATCCATGGGGCTAATTTATTGATGGTAAAAGTAGCGTTTGTTGTATACATACAGACACTAAAAACGATAAGATGCGCACATCCTCCCCCAGGGGGCCAGGCAGATAGGCGGATCTCACAGACCTCCAAACCGGGCTCTCCAAGATAGCCTCGTCCCCCACGGTAGCAAAGCCATTGGGGACACATGCTGAAGTGCAGTGTGGCTGTGTTTGTACACTACTGGCTGGCTGGTGCTTCGAAATACCATAGGTTTTTCCATCCCAACATTGAAATGATGAATAAGCCAATGAGCTTTTGGAGTGGGGTTTGGGGCGCACACAATGACCTCATATGACCTCTAGGCCTGGGATGGAAAGGAAGCACC